GCACTGTTGAAACTGATTTTTATTTTATTTTTTTCTTTTCCTGGCAAATTTTAAATAAACACTTGGGCAAACCCCTTAATTCCAGCCGGAAAATTCCTGCCACCCCCAGGTGTGGTGCAAGGGGCTGCCTGGAGCTGTGTCCCCTCCGGGAATTGTTCTTCCCTCCGCGTCCCCCGGCACCGGCAAAGCTCCGGTGGGATCGGTGGAAACCCTCCCGTCCCCAGGAGGTGCCCCCCGTCCCGCCTTGGGCTGAACCCCAAATGTGGCTTTGGGGGCATCTTGGGGGGTGACACCGCCCGGGTCAGGCGCCGGTGCTGGGACCTACCGTTCCCCTGGGGCGGTGACACCCCTGCCCCCCACACCCTGCTCTGTTATCCCCCCCGAGGGGGTCCCCAGGCAGTGACACCCCCCCTGACACCCCTCATCCCCTCCCTGCCCCGCACTGATCCATTATCACCCCAAAGACAGTCCCTGGGCAGTGACACCCCGCGGTGACGCCCCTGACACCCCCCACCCTGTCCCATTGTCCCTTCCTTTATCCAGCCTGGAGAAGAGGAGGCTGAGGGGAGACCTTATTGCTCTCTACAACTCCCTGAAAGGAGGGTGTAGAGAGATGGGGGTCGGTCTCTTCTCTCAAGTCACAGGCGACAGGACGAGAGGAAATGGCCTCAAGTTACGCCAGGGGAGGTTCAGGCTGGATATTAGGAAAAATTATTTCTCCATCCCCCTGAGCATATGAGGGCTCCAGACCTGCACACAATACTCCAGGTGAGGTCTCACCAGAGCAGAGCAAAGTGGCAGAATCCCCTCTCTGGACCTGCTGGCAACGCAGCTTTTGATGCAGCCCAGGATGGGATTGGCCTTCTGGGCTGCAAGTGCCCACTGCCTGCTCATGTCCAGCTTCTCCTCCACCAGCACCCCCAAGTCCCTTTCCTCAGGGCTGCTTTCCAATCCCTCACCCCCCAGTTTGTATTGGTGGCGAGGATTGTTCCGGCCCAGGTGCAGAACCTTGCATTTGCTCTTGTTGAACCTCATGAGGTTCACCTGGGCCCACCTCTCCAGCCTGTCCAGGTCCTTTGGGATGACATCCCGTCCCTCTGGTGTATCGACAACACCACACAGGTTGGTGTCATCCCCAAACTTGCTGATGGTGCCTTTAATCCCCCTGTCTATATCATTGATAAAAATGTTAAACAGCACCGGCCCCAGCACGGCCCCTTGAGGACACCACTTGGGACTGGTTTCCATCTGGACTTTGAGCCATTGAGTACCACCCTCTGGTTTAGTGATGATGCTCCTTGTTTGTTGTGCGGGTGTCTATTTTTGTCAAAATTAGGTTGATGGTTGGACAAGATGATCTTTAAGGTCCCTTCCAACCGAGAAGATTTTGTGATTATTTCTGTGATTCTGTGACCCCCGGGGCGGTGACACCCCCCCCTCCCCTCAGCGCCCCGCCTCCGGCCCTGGGGCGGGGCCTAGAGCCAGAAGGGGGCGTGGTTTCGAGCACGACGGGGCGTGGCCATCCCGAAGGGGGCGTGTCTCTCGGTGGCCACGCCCCCCGCGGACTGATATAGCGGCGCGCGGGGCGGGGCGGCCCGGCCATGACCCTGCGGCGGCTGCGGCGGCTCCGGCCGCGGGAGGAGGAGGATGCGGCGGCGGCGGCCCCGGAGCGACCGGGACCCGCTGAGCTCTACCGGGTGCTGGCGGCTGCCGGCGGCACCCTGCCTCGGGTGCGCAAGGTAGGGCTGCCCCCGCTCCCCCTTCCCCCTGCGCGCCGGGACCCAGCGCCGCTACCGGCACCGGGCTGGGGCGGGGGG